CCTCCTCCGCGTCCTCCTCCTCCTCCTTCTCCTCCTGCTACTCCTACTCCCCCGCTCGTCTCCACCGCGGCGTCGTCTCGGGGGCTACGACAGGGGTGAATTGAAGGGGCCCTGGGACACACAAAGAAATAGACACACTTCCCAGAATCCCCCATCCCTACATTCTCTGGGGTTTCGTCTTCCCCCCCCCCCGCTGTCCCTAGTTTCCCATGTTTTCCTGGGGATCGACGATGAATCTCGTCTGCGTGTTTTTCCCCCTCTGATGAACAGCCCACCAGGCTCCCCTGCGAAGAGGTGCAATGCCCGCCCCTAAGCTATTCGCCCCTACCGTCGCCTCCGCTCGTCCTGGGGAGGCCAAGGTACTGATGCCGCTGCTCCCCGGACCTCTCCCGGGGTGCGCTCGGACCAAGACTTCGAGGCGAATCCAGCGGTGGCGACGAGGACCTCCCAGGAGGCCGAACAAGGGGAAAGGCGAGGCGAGGGTAGCGGTCTACGAGTACCTGGAGGAGGAGGAGGAGGAGGAGCAGGAGGAGGAGGAGGAGGAGGAAGAAGAGAAAGAGGAGGAGGAGGAGGAGGAGGAGGAGGAGGAGGAGAAAGAGGAGGAGGAGGAGGAGGAGGAGAAGGACCGACATCCCACGACGAGGGGGCGCGCGTGCCTCCTCCAGCTCGCGCCATCCCCGGCTCAGGCTGCCGAACCTCCGGTTGCCGCGCAGGTACGTCAGCACCCTCTGCACCTCGCTCCTGCAGCGCGCGCGGGGCTCGCCGTGGCCGTCGTGGGGGCGCCGTGGCAGCCGCCGCCGCCGCCGCCCAGACCGTCAGCGTCGCCGTCACCGCCGCCGGCGCCGGCGCTGCCGCCGTCGTCGTCGTCGTCGTCGTCGTCGTCGTCGTCGTCGTCGTCGTCGTCGTCGTCGTCGTCGTCGCCGTGGCCGCCGCCATCCGCCGCCGCCATCCGCCGCCGCCACCATCGTCTGCGCCGCGGAGGCCAGCGGCCTCCTCGGCGCGCTTCGCCGAGGAGAGCCGGGGCCGAGGGGCTCCCAGGAGAGCTCCACACAAAGCAGTACCGCCTGGGGCGTTGACAGAAGAAACCCTATAAGTCAGGCACGAGGCCCCCTTTTCCCCATAAGTTCAACTCCGACTTCCCATCGGAAACCTAAGAGAAGCCCAAGGCGAACTGTAGACTCTAGACCAATCCAGGAGCATCGAGCCCCTCGAAACCGAAAAGGGTTCCTTCGGCGGGCGCCCCGACTGTACACCACCACCACCACCAGCCCCCTCCAGGCCAGCCTGGGCCCTGGGCTGGCGCACAGGCCCTCCTGGCCGAGACCTGGAGGCCTATACGCAACTGGCCAGGGCCCGTGGTCGTGTCCTGTGGGCGTGCCTCCGAGGACGGCCGGGCGGAGTCCTTTTCTGGGCGCCGGGGCGGCGGACGGTGGATGCTCCGCCAGACGGACCCCGCGGAGCATGCAGACCTCGCCGGGCGCGCTCCGCTACGCACTCGCAGAGTGCCTACTCGCAAGCGTCTGAAAAAAAACCACGCTGCCCTCGATGTAACACATCGTAAGGCCCCCACCGCGGATCCGGGCCACTTGCGAGTAGTGACTTTGCGAGTACAGCCATCGGCCTGACCTAAGGAACGATAAATAAGGAACGGAACCCCTTTTTATCCTGAGGAATAACGCATAAGGAACGATAAATAATAGATAACGCATAAGGAACTGTAAATAACGCATGTAAAACCTAAGGAACGACCGAGCCCCTTTTGAAAAGTAAGTTTTCCTTATTCAAGCCGCTCACTGTAGCGGATCGCGCTTGCCTAAGAGCGGCGGCGGGCGCGGGCGGGCGCGAGGAGCGTGCCGCCGGCGGCTGCCCGCGCGCCCGCGGGGCCTCTTCGGCGAGGTGTGCGGAGGGGCTCCGAGAGCTCCGCGCGCGGCGCCCAGCGGTGAAACTCGGGCCTCCTTTGCCGTCCCCTCCACCCTGCTCCTGTGCCCACCACCTGCGTCCCCTACACCTCCGTCTCCTCCTCCTCCTCCTCCTCCTCCTCCTCCTCTCTCCTCCTCCTCCTCCTCCTCCTCCTCCTCCTCCCTCCTCCTTCTCCTCCTCCGCCCTCCCTGCTCCTCCTCCTGCTCCTGCTCCTGCTCCTCCCCTCTCCTCCTCCTCCTCCTCCTCCTCCTCCTCCTCCTCCTCCTCCTCCCCCCCCTCCTGCCGCCTCTCCGCGCCATCCTCCTCCCCCGCTCTGCCTCCTCTCCCGTTCGGTATTTTCATCGATTTCTGGCTTCCCCGCGTTCCTCACTCTCCCCTCCTCACTCCTCCCTTCCTCCCCCCCCTCTGCCCTCCTCATTCCTCTCCTCCTCACTCTCCCTCCCTCCCTCACTCCTCCCCTCCTCACTCCTCCCTCCTCCTCCTCCTCCTCACTCCTCCCCCCTCCTCACTCCTCCCTCCTCCTCCCTCCTCCTCACTCCTCTTCCTCACTCCTCACTCTGCCCTCCTCACGTCTCCTCCTCGTCCCCCTCGTACTAACCACCCCAAGCGACCTGCCCCACTGCCCCTCGTCATCCATGGTTCGTCCCTCCTCCATCCCCGCACCTTTTTATTCGCGCAAAGGCTCCTAGCACACAACTTCGGGGATCCAAGATTCGTAGCACACGCTCTGCTCCAAAACCATTGGATCACACATTACAGGCATCATCGCACTAAGGGAAATCGTTCAGAAGTGCGACATATGAAGACCAGATACCAAATGCTTGGAAAGGTCGGTGTGAGCAGGAGCAGCAGCCTTTGAGGGATTCTTGGGCCGTCCTGCAGCAGCCCACCTCGATGCAGAGCATCGATCCCATGGCGTCTTCGACCTTGCTTAGTCCATGTTGGCCCCTTTGGGGGCATTGCTCGGATACGTATGTGCCGCCCATGTTGCTGCGAGTAGGTGGTGGAGTGGGGGGGGGGGATAAAGAGGTGTTTGGATATGGTGCCCGGAACGTGTCAACGGGAGCCTGTAAGAGTTCCAAGCCCAGAGATGTCCAAGGAGTGGGGCTCCCTGACGCATGCAGATGGCACATCAAGGCCTGAGTCGTTCCACGATGGATAGACTGAGGGGCACGGGGGGGAGGGGGGGTCAGGTCGGGCATGTCCCCCTGCAGGCGGGTTTTGTCATGGGTATGTGTGTGTGTTGTTGGTTCGTCATTTTTCTCGGCAGAGGGGGGGGGGGCCCGACGGCCGCCGGGCCGTCCCCAGACAGGGCTCGCGC